CCCCAAAACCCCAAAACCCCAAAACCCCTAATGTATAAAATATTATTGAAGTTGTTAGAAAAATAATGAAGTTTCCGAAGCCTCCAATAACTCCGAAGTCTCAATTCCATCTGAGTAAGTTTGGGCTATCTAACAAGTACTATTAATTCTAGACTCGAGGAAAATGGAAACATATAACCAGATAAAGCTTTCAAGATCTCTGAATAGAAGGATTAGACATACCCCAACCCTTCCAATTGATAATTTGAAGAGTAAATCTTTTACTATTGCTCCTTCGATCAGGAATAATTTGATTTAGACAAGTCCAGCTCCTTTGCAAAATTGCATATGAAGGATAGAGGCCTCCAAAGCTCAAGTAATTGTTAAAGTTTGGCCTTTTGGAACCCCTATTTTTATAGGTAATCATACGATAGAAGAGGAAGAGTTTCAAACTACCATGCCTCAATGTAAGCTTTATAAAATGATAAATAATAGTAAAATCGTCATCTCCTAAAAGAGGAGGGTCCCATCCTCCAAAGAATGCGTAAGAGGTATAGATTATTATTTTAGTCATTCACTCGAACAGGCACTAGCAAACTTTCTCAAGAACTCTGACAATATTGAAACTAAAACAGTTGAGAGGTAAGACTAATGTTAATAGTCTTAGGAAGTTTAGCAAATAAACCTAAAAGCAAGAAGGTGAATACTAAGTTAAAGCTTGCTTTGCCACCTGCTTTCAACCTTCCTAAAATCGACCAAGTGTCTACTCCAACCGAGATGTCTTGGTATGCTCACCTATTTTATGCCTTTAGTAAGGGTGACTTTGAAAATCTGGACACTAATAGGGAGATAAGGTAACTCCAATCCTCATCTCTAGGAAAATGCTTCATAGCCAGGTGAGGGTGATTTAAGAACAAGACAATAGTCAGAGGTAAGGCTTAATCACCACTATTATAGAGACAAAGTCCTCTTTGATCAGGAAGAGAATAGCTCAAGAGAATAAGAAGTAAAATCTATGCTTATCTTTAGGAAGGCAATATCCGAAGAAAAGGATGTAGGATTTAGGTACAGGAATAAGCTCAATTCACGCATTCTGGTCCTTAACAAACGGTGCAATGACGAGATGAAGAAATAGTACCAAGCTTCACAAATTTGTTTGAAAAATCGAAGTTATAGTCAATAAGTAAGTTTATATGCTAATCCTAGGTCCTATGGAAACCTTCACAAGCTCATAAAGGTAAGGGTTTAAGTGGAATTTTAGAAATCGGAGAAGGAAAAGAAGCAAAAGTTGACACTGAAAGATGGTCTATTGATACAGCTACAGAATAAAACTGTAAGATAATGAATCATTTTAAATAGGCTAATATTGGGCTAGGACATTTCTCTTCTCACAACACTCGGAATTCCAATAAAGTTTCTGTCAGAGTAAGAAGCCACGATGTAGCCAATAATAGGTATAGCAACTTTGATCGGTAAGGGCTGGAAGCCCTTACCGGTCTCTTGGTCGGCTATTCCTAATAACCCCTCTATCACTGCTCTAACTTATGTGAAAACCTTTATTCCAATTTGTTTGCAGAATGGCCGAAGCGGTCCTAATCGACCACTTTAGAACAATTTTGATCAATTTTGAACAAAATTTAGGGGTTTTGGGGTTTTGGGGTTTTGGGGTTTTGGGG